AACAGCGATGAATATGAAATGCCTATTAAAAATGGGTCAATGTTTTTGAAATGGAATTTACCACACGAAGTGAACTCGGTCGAGTCTGCCTTGTAACTGAGCTCTGAGTTCACCCCATCCACTGTTCGAGGTGGAAATGCACTGCACATCTCAAGGCCATAGCTCATGTCCCAGCAAACGGCCTATACTATGTAACAACACACCCTGCAATGCATTTTTGTAACATGACACAGCAAAGAATATATCTGGTAGATTTTGTTAGAATTTTAGTGTACATATTGAAACATGTCTAGCAGAATTGGAAAGAGAGATATTTTGTGAGTCTCCTGTACATAGAGAAACCTCTATCATACTTGCCATAATAATGAGCATTCTTTTATTTTTTTTTTCTTTTCTTACTCTTGAACTTACCAATACAATATCTTTGCTTGTCTTATAACATGCCAGCTTTTAATAGAACTGTCAGCCACTGACATCTATGATGAAGTTAACAAATTAGAACCTTTCAAATCTGGTCTGGCATAACGACCAGCTCCCTATGTTGGCTGACTTCCTACCATGATCCTGCTTTAATAAAAATAATATTTCATTGGTTTTTCTTGGCAATACTGAATCATGACCCTTCTATCTCTGTATTGTACAGTAGCTAATGTGTGGAAAAGTCAGTTGAGTTTTGTTTACCCGTTATCACAAAACCGATAAAATGTTATACAAAAGGACTGAATATCAACCAAAATTATGAGACATATAGTACATCCTTTTAATTATGAAAATAATAAAGAAGTAAAGGCAGAATTACAAAATTTCACCAACAGATTTCACACAACTCTACAGAAGAAATTAATGAACTGTGTAAGAGTCTCCCATATAAAGACAGAGATATTGAAATTTGTAATACCTGTATCATACCAAACAGTGATTCTATGCAAGCCTGTGACAGAGATTGATTCATTATACTGTATTGCAATTACGACAATGTATACTGCCAGGTTTAATACACAGTAACTAATGAGGGGGAGAAGACAAACAAATAAAAACACAGATAATCCAAAATATTTTGGAAATTCACAACTTTATAATTTTATACAACTGACATTTAATTTGAGAAAGAGTTTGAAGTGGTCACTTGTTTTGTGAACTGTTCATAGACTCCTCCACAAAACAGTATGAATTTTGCTCTCATCCTCCTTACCCGCGTCTTCATGCTTTTATTTTGAGGCAGCACTAACAATGTCCGTCAAGCATATCACTCTGTAGCCATTCTTTGTTTCTTCATTAATGTTTTAGAAACTTCTCACAGCACATGACATGTCAAGAATTTCAGATTTGCTGATTTCATTAGGAAAAACCTTGCAAATCATCTCCTTCTAGACCTGGAAGAAGTTTCCTTCATGATCAAACTCGTCTTACTGTATACATGGACTTTGGCCCAGATATGACATACTTAACATCCAACACCATTATTTTTCCATTATTCCTTCTGTCTGTCACCTTCTATTGCAAGAGCTCTGTAAAGGTCAGCCCAGTAGCATAGCTTCATGGATACAATTACTCAATCAGTAGATCTTGGCTAATTCTGTGGCCAATACTCTGTTCTCACATTTTTAAGTTAACTTCAGATTCTGTTTTACTGTTTTTTTAACATTCCTGATTATTTACAATCTGTCCTACATGGGCATTCAGTAAATCTTCTGATATTGTCTAATGACATGCGGAATACATGTCCAGTGACAATCTTCATTAGAAATTAACTTGACAGTACAGTTTTACTGTTAGTACAGTTTTCTTATGATTTTCAGCCACTTTATTTAGATCCACAAGTGTTAACTAACATTTTCACCAGACACAAAGTACAACACAACAGGATTGACTGTGAAACACCAATAATTTAAAAAAAAGACCAAGCACACTTGAAGCATTCCCTCTCTCTGCAATCATGACCACTGCAACAAACCTTCCTACCCAACCACCCATACTAACTAGAAGCACCAAAATAAAATGTACTGCTTAACCATATCTTCTGTATACATTTCAGAAACTAAAATCCTGAACAGGGTAGCACAGAGTCAAAATATGTCAAAAGTCTTGTTCACATGTGTCTGCAACTGGATCATCCACACAAAGATAAATAGGAGTCTACTGTATACGTCATTTAAGGAGACGGTTCTATTGCAATCTTCAGGTGATTATTATTATATTGACACATAATTTTAACATTAATGATAGTGCTGGGTTACATTATAACAGCTGCCACTGATAGCACAAACAAAAGTACATGTCAATATTTAATGATAACTGAATTATATGAATACAGAATGATGATGATGATCATGATGTGGCTGCTGTCACTTCTACTACTACTGTATGTGAGAGTTGTTAAGTCCCTGTGATGTATGAGGCCTGGGAAGTCATATGCTACACTACTAGCAGACTAAAAATATCAAGCTTGTTTTTTTATTTGATGTAAACTTTACTCATAACACTGAAAGTAATAAAATGTCAGTAATGACAAAGCAAATAAATGAAAAATAATATTAAGAACAGTGGAAAGCAACAAAGATGTGCAAAAAATATCATTAAGACCAACATTCTCCACTCAGGAGCAGGGGGGTTATGCATGCACACATCACTTGCCTACCAGTCTGCCTACATCACAAACATTTACTAAGCACTTGTGCCACCAAAATCACCATCATCACTAAAATGACAATTTTTGAAATTATATGGTCAGACAACTCACTGAATATCCTGTTCCCACAGTAAGCACAGCATGTCCAGTTAATGTTGCAATTGTCACCAAATGTGGATTAACCGCTTTCTCTGCAAGTTCTCTCATCTGTAATAACATCAAGTAAAGTGTAAAATAAAGCTGTCCCACTATATGCCATGTAGGCACTTGGGGGGAGAGGTGGTATAGCTCCTATTAATTCTTAACTTCAGCACTAGATGGGGGTGAGTGGTGGGCATCACACCCCGGCCACATTTTACCCTTAGGAAAGGACCCCAGTACCCATTCGATAGATGGCTGGGTGGGCCCCAGAGCCAGTCTGCATGCAGAGGCTAGAGAACAAATCCTCTGTCCCTGCTGGAATTGAACACCAGTCATCCAGTCTGTAGCCAGTCACTATGCTGACTGAGCAACCCCAGAATAACAAAAAGTAAAAAGAATAATAAAATGTAAGTCAAATGTTTCTTATAACCACATTTCATTTACATCTTTGTATGCAACATAAAGTAACATTCTATTACAAAGTACGATGATCAGCCAAAAGTTATGCCTTCTATTCTTTAATTCATACAATTTACAAAAAGCATATGAAAATTACACTGTATGTACCCACAACACTGATTAAGACAGTTATTCTTCAATTTAGTCTCTACCATTTAAATCTCACTTTTATGTATTTCATGAAAGAAAACATTCAATGCTGATCATAATGACCATATGAGCTGAGGTTTCTGCGGTCTCTGACTATTTGAACACCGGAAATGTGAATATGAATCTCACATGAGGAACAGATGTTTTGCTTGTATTTTCTGCACTGTGATATCCTGTGTAGGCAAACAATGACACCTTGTGATGGACCAGTTCCCCATCCAAGGAGTTCACCAAGTGTCTAGAAGGATTCATAATTTCAGAGGGCCTAATCCATAAAAGCTAAAGATGGATATATTCAGTAAAAAATGGTACTGAAAACAAAATACAATATAGTGTTTCCTTGTAACAATCCTTCTCTTTGTAAAAAGATAATTTTAGTACCTAAGGTGGAAACAGAGCAGTAGCAAAAATTTCATCCAACACAAAAATTATGATTTGGTGAACTACTGAAATGGATCCAAAAGTTAACATGAACAGAATCTACAACTACCAGTGCAGGCAATATTTGTTGGTGCCAATGATTTATCAAACTTGGATGTAACATTTAAAGAATATGTACTTTACCTTACATAGTACATCACCCATAATCATCCTGCCCTCAGCATCTGTGTTACAAATCCGCACTCTCAATTTCTTACGTGAGACGACGACCTCATCAGCTACATAAGAATCCATACCCACACTATTTCGCACAAGTGGCATTGCTCCTACCACTTTTATACCACGTGGCCTTAGTACTGACAACACCTAGAAAAATATGTCAGTGATAAATGGAGCCACAGGATAAGCTGAAAATATAATCCATTTATTCCAGATGAATGGATATTAAACATTTATGAAAAAACATACTACACATATCACAACTACTGTTAAGTCCCTGGAGAAGGATTTGGAAGCAAGTAGCTACAGTTTATTTCAAGGTAATAACACTGTATTTGCAAGGATAAACTGAAGAGAATCATAAAACCCTGTCAGGATAGCTGGTCTTTGGGTAAAAAAAATTGAATTCAAGGTCTCCCAAATACAAAGAAGTGGTGCTAACCACTTAACTATAATGTACGGAAAATATTAATGAATAACCACAATCCTGACTGATCAGTCAATTTAACAATTTCTCAGCTGCACAGATTTCAGCATTGAATAGGGGCTGTGAATATCAAAGTGGGAAGTAAATAGAAGCGGTTGTGGCTTATTTTAAGGTATTATCCCAGCATTTGCCTGTCAGAAACAAAAACCATGTAACTGATGGCTGACAGGTTATACAATGCTGATACGTGAAAACTTATTAACATACCTGCATAAACCCAGCCACTGCTGCAGCACCACACTTGTCTCTTGACATGCCTGCCATGTTTCCTCCTGCCTTAATGTCTGCTCCTCCTGTGTCATAGGTCACACCCTTACCAACCAGGAAAAATGTTTTATCCACTTGGCCTGAGGTGGGTTCATATGTCAAGTACACAATTCGCCCACGATGTCGGTCAATACCTGAAATAAGAATAAACATAAAAAGCAGTGTTCAACCTATTAAGATTTTTGGATGGAGGACAACTGATCTGAGACAATTGGTGTAGTGGTCCAAATTATATCTTCTGCTGATATAGATTTAATTTATTATTATTTATTAATATAAATTTATTTTAGTTTCCTTTTCAAAATTGTAACTTTGTGTGGTGTTTGGAGTATTGTGGTAGGATGGATACTTCCATTTCATGGCATCTACCTAAGTGCTCAAGACACAGATGTGCAACAACCTTCTGTGCCCGAAAGTCTTGATTTTGACACTAATGGGTAATAAGTTACCATGAATTGGGTGTAGCCTCATGTGTCACACTTTGACATTTATGGCTTCAGTATGCCAAAAGTCAGTTTGGACAATATGGTTCATTGTCACTCAGCAGACAAATGTTATTGGAACATGCATTTTAAGGACTATGAGTGAGGAAATTTAAAAGAGCCAATTAGATGCAAGAGTTGAATGTAAGCGACTACGTCACTGGTTTGAATGTTTCAAACCAGGGACATGATGCTTCCAGCAGCATGTCAGTTTGGTATTCTGCAACAAACTTTGAACATTGTCGCACGCATAACATTCAAGTCCATCATAATTCTGGATTTAAACAACTATCACCTTCTTGAGGCTAGAGTTAAATTAAAATATAAAGTGTTCTCCATATATTAATACTGTAAATAAATAAATAAATCATTCTGCTCAATATAAAAATATTCAGCATTAGCGGCAGCTTCTAGTTATCGACAGTTATATGCCATAAACTCTCTGAGGAGAGAGAGAGTCAAGTGCCTGCCTAGGAGCAAAGCTCCTATCACTGAGTGGCTGTATTGGTTTGACTTAGAATTAATCATTTTTTTAGATATTAAAAATCCATACAGTTGTTCTTGCAGCATTACTACCCAGAATACCAACATCAATATAAAAGTAAAATTATGTCTGCAGAGTTTCTGCCTGTGAAGTTACATTTGTCTTTGAGATAAGGATATGTTAGGGTGATTTTATTTTTGTAATATAGTAATAGGATTAGCAGTAGCAGCAGTAGTAGGCATAATAGTAGTAATAGCAATAGTATTTTGATGTTCATATACTTGGAGAAATTCCATTTGTCTTCTGGCATCTCACTGTAGGCTTTCTAATATTATGACCATCATTTTGCAGATAACAGTTTTTGTATTACCACATCTTTTGTGTGTGACACTTCTTCAAAATAAACTGTAAAACCAATCTTGCAATTGTTATAGAAAATTTCACATAATGTAACATGAGAGAAAAACATCATCTGAAACCTTCAAACTTTGCCAAGAAACTTAATTCCTTGAGCTCATTAAATGTAAAAGTGTGCATTAACTATTAACCATATGCACTGGTGGTTGACATACAGATGTGTATACCATTTAGTGCATAAAGAAACCAGTGCCCAGAGCGCTCTGTTGAGTGCTAATGGAAAAAGTTTGTTAACATGCCTTAATCTTATCTAACATCTACCACGAAAACTAATTCAATACTGATATGTTCCGATATGCACCAAACATTTAGTTTTGAAGGGGAAGTACAATGACTAAGCTTTTGCAATATAATTATTTCACAAGTGACAAAATTACTGATTTGTTAAATGGCATTAATGACAATGAGTGCTAAAAGCAGAAAGAAGAGGAAAACAATACTAAACCTGTTATAGTGACAGTTCCTAACAGTGATACTAGATGGGTGTGATGTAATATAAATCCAGTATATGAAGCACAGAAAATACCTCTCTCAGGGAAACAGGGTTCACAAAAACATTTTTATAATGTTTCAGAAAATTTTTTGTTTTCTAGAAAAAGAAACAAATACCCTAATTGTACAGGAGACAAATAGATATGCAGAAAAATTCATAAAAGGCTGCACTCTGAAGCCAAGGTTGTGCATTAGGAACTAGCAGCCTGTGATAGGATGAAGTTTATGTTGCCCTTGGCCTCAAGATGTTTATGGGTACAGTGCAGAAGCCTACACTAGAGCTACTTCAGAAGGGATGCTTTTCTAGAATCTCCCATTTTTCTGCAATCAATGTCACAAAACCAATTTTGAGCTTATTTAGAAATGTTTTCATTTCATTGACAATAGTCACTTATACTGGCCCCACAAAATTTTTCAGAATTCAACCTATTCTGTAAATCATGAACCAAAATTTTCAGTCTGCCTTTTAATCATCTGAAAACATCAGTGTCGATGAATCCCTCACACTGTGGAAAGGTTGTTGGGAATGAGACAACCAAGTCTGGAATAAAGACTTTTGGCCTTTGTGAGTCTTCCAATGGGTATCTGTGGCATTTCATTGTATACACTGGTGATAGTACTGAAGTCACACCAGGTACTGATGTGCCAGACCAGCTCAAAAGTTCTAAAATCACAGTGAAGCTTTCTGAGCCCATCGTGAACAAAAACAATATACAGTCAAACCTCAGTTCACGAACGCCTCAGATCACGAACAATTCAGTTTACGAACAAATTTTCCGAGCAAAAAGCGTCTCGGATGACGTACTGTGTCTTGAGTTACGAACACGCAAGCCGTCAACATCGTGGAGCGATAAGCTGGGAGTATCAGCATCAGCAGTATTCGTAGAAGAATGATCCAGCATGGGGCCAAAGAAAGACAATGATAGCAGCGAAGTGAAAAGAAAAAATACCAATATCATGATAGATGTTAAGAAAGAAATCATAGCCAAACATGAAAATGGTGTTCGTGTCTCTGATCTTGCTACTCAGTTTGGGATGGCAAAATCAACGATCTGTACTATTCTTAAAAATAGAGAGACAATCAAGAAAGGCGATGTTGCAAGAGGAATGACAGTCATTACTAAACAAAGATCACAGACGATTGGAGAAGTGGAGAAATTGCTGCTAATTTGGATAAACAACAATATGTTAGCTGGCTACAGTGTTTCTGAGGGTATGATTTGTGAAAAAGCAAGGCGACTGCATGATGACCTGGTAAAAAAATATCCTGGTACAAGTGCTGATACTGATGTTTTCAAAACTAGCAGAGGAAAAAGAATCCCCTTCCAAACAATAACAT